AGATTTAGATGCCCATGCTGACTCAAGAAAAGTTCTGAACATAATGGTCAAAATAATTTGCATACAACTTCAAAGTCTTGTTGAATCCAAAGTACGAAAGAAAAACATTAATTGCTGCCAACATGTAGCCATGCATTTTTACAAAACAAATAGTGATAATAAAACGCATAACCTTGATTTATGCATGTAATTTTACAGCTTCAGAAAAGAATGGCAGTAAAAGACAACACTCGGTATGAAGTATCACAATAAGAAATCGTTGAATGTTAATAGACAACAACAGTGAAGAGCATAAGCTTAGGACACAGGAATAAAAAATTTTAGGGTACACTGCAATTTCTTCCATGCATTTAGGTGGAGTGTTAGTCAACTCACCCTTAAGAAGAACAAAATTTAAGACTAATATATTATTATTTATACGCGATATAAACAAATGAAGTTAATCCAAATGTTGTAGTGTGGGGGGTAGAAGCCATAGTTCATCCAAACATTTGGTGGGGGTAGACACCAGAACATGCAACACCTTGTCCGGTCCCCACTGAGATCTAATGCACATGTGCTGTGGTCTACACCACTTTAGAGAACCAAAACACCATAAAAAAAACTTCTAGTAAGACATTTAATTGGATGAGAAAAAAATTACAATTATCATCTTCAATCTAAATAGCACTGTTTACCAGCAGAGGCAACAGAACATGCGGCCAAGTCCTTAACTTGGTCAAGAGGAGAAGTGAGCCACCTCTTCTCCAAGTCTGATGCATCCCCTCTGGCATTTCTCTTGAATTCAGCAGAAGATATTGTGATATTCGTCACTTGGCGAACATGTACTCCTTCATCATCACTGTCAAGCACGACTTCTTCCTGTGTGTTGTCTTCTGTCTGAGTTCTCACGTTCCCAATACAGAAAGGAACATCCAGTACCTCAGTGTCATCATCAAAATTCTCCAACTGTGTTTCTACTGAGGAATTCTCTAGCCTGGCGGCATCAGCAAAGAGCACAGTACTTTGATACCCATTCTCCTTTCTAATTTTGGCTTTATTGCCTGCTTTTAAGCCAGATGAGATGTTAATACGATGGCGTATATCACACCCAGAAAAAATCACACCATTGTTTCCATCAAAATCAGTAAATACAACCACAAACTCAAACGCATTTGACATCTGGAGTCTGGATTTCCCTAGGAATTGGTTTAAGCCATGGGCTACATAAAATATCAAAAGAGAGGATGGTTTAGCTGTAGAAATTAAATGACCCTGGAGGATCCAGGATCCTATTCCCACTATACTCTCTCAATCTCACCCTATTTCAGAACGGCAAGTCCTAAAACATGCTTAATGTTTCTGGATTTGTGCAAAATAGCACGGAGGGTTGCATTTTTCTCTCATATAAACTATGCATCAATGTCTCAAAGTTCTGAAAGTATCTTTGCCTCAACAACGATATTGAGAGTCAAATCTAACATGTTTCACTCTGGAAGAATACCCTTTTCAGTTTGGATTCCACGCAATTTCAAAACTAGATAAGGGAAATTAAAACAAAAAGAAAAAGAAAAAAGAAGAGTGCTAAATATACTCATTCTCTGTTCCTTCATCTTCCAAAAGGAAAAAAAAAAAAAAACAGAGGTCAGAATTTTATGGATCAAACATATGTTTTTTTAATCATTCTCATATACAATCTCCATAACTCAAAAGGGGGAGATTTTGAGTATATTTAGAAGACATGTCCTCCTTGAAATAACCTAGAGACCGCAGGTTCGAGTAATGGAAACAGTCTCAATACTATCGTCTGGTTGGCTGTAGAGATAAGACTACGTACATCTAACTCTTCCCAAACTCACAATGGTAGGAGTCTCGTGCACTGGGCACACCCTTTTCCTCCTTGAAATGCTATAAAACGAACCATGAAAAATTTGCAAGACGCAAAAGTAGACAATTCTTACCATGTGATGGTGGTAATGAAGAGAAAGATCGAGTATCAAAGGTCTGAATTTCAGTATCCGTATGATTAGCCATTAAATTCTTGGCTAAGTAATGTTCTTCATCATCCCCGCCCTAAAAAAAGGGCAAAAAGAGGCAACAAAAAAGAAGAAGAACACTTCAGTGATCAGTCAAACAAATTCATATCAGAGGCTGGCACAACAATGATTCATGAAAAGCATACGATACATAAAAAAGAAGTACATTGTTTTCATGATGATCACAACATATATTATATAAACGAATGTGAGTTCTGAAGAGATGATCATAAAAGAGTTTGAGATTCTTACAGATAGATAACGGAGAGGAACTAGGAGGAGACTGATGACATTGAAGTGGTAGGGAAGGTATAGGGCAGTTGCATGACTATCAAATGGGTTAGGGTTTGCACTTATATGAATGAGGATTTGATTGAAATAGGGAAGATGATTGAGTGGGAACATTTGTTCATTGCAATTTTTGGAGGGAAACGTGTTTGCTTCACTGTACTCAGATTAGATAAAACATTTAAAAAATATATCTTGAGATGAAGAACAACCAAGGGCATTTGGTCTAGTGGTATGATTCTCGCTTAGGGTGCGAGAGGTCCCGAGTTCAATTCTCGGAATGCCCCTTCTATATTAAGTTTTTTATGCTTTTTGCATTTAATTGAGAGAATTACACTCAAACCTTCTGAGGTTTGTCATTTAATCACTCAAATCCTTGTCATTTAATCACTCAAATCTTCTGACATTTGAAGTATTACACATATATTTCCTAAAGTTTGTAAGCGCATAATTTTATTTAAACCTCTTAAGTTTAAAATGTTATTTTTAAATCAAAATATTTTCATCAAAGATAAAATATCAAATATTTTAAAATTTACGCTTTAAATTTATATTTAATTGTATCATTTTATTGAAATAAAATCAAAAATAAAAATTCAATTTTTTCTTAAAAAATTGTGATTAATATACAATTATATTGTCTAATTAGACTTAATATGTTAAACTTAATATTTTTTAAAAATTAAAAAATATCAATTTTTTGTCTATAATATTTGTTAAATAACCATTTTTTTTTTATCTATAGTTGTGTTATTTGTATTTACTTTTAATTTGATTTGATAATCAAAAGATTTGTATCTAACTATAAACAAAAAATAGTTATTTAACGAGAATTGTAGGCAAAATTGGTATTTTATAATTTTTTAAAATTTTAAAAAAATATTTTTTATTGACACGAATATGTTATGATACAATACAATTAGGAGTTATTTAAAGAACATTAATGGATAAAATTCTTTTTAGATCATATATATGAAATATTAAATTTAGGGGTATAATTTATAATTAACCCAAACTTTTTTAACTGAAAAATTGATAGAGTTAGTATCAAGTACACATTGATACGAATTTATATCTTTCAGGGTATATATTAATATTTTTAAACTTTCAAGGTATAAATTAAAATTTGAGTGTTCTTTTAAGGTGCAAGTTAAGATTAACTCAAAATGATAATATCACTAAATAAAGTCTAAGTCGCATTGCCCTTTTTTTGTCCCGAACTTCTTCACTTTATTTTTTTTCTTCTTCTTAAACATCAAAAACACATCTTAGAGTATCTATAATTATTTATTATCATAACAAAAATCTCGTGCACTTGAATTTTTAGTATCGTCTATACAGTAAAATGCAAATTGATCGCTTTTGTAGGATTAGAATCAAACTTTTCCTAATTTTTTGACAAAGTTATGTTTTATTTAAAAAAAAAATTACTTCAAAATGTTAGCAAACAATACAGTTGTCAATGAGGGACTCTGATTATCAAATTTGGAATCATTTGCACCCAAAAGCGAGTATATAATATAATTTAATGCTTAATGATGTTTATATCAATCCATTTATAAAATAAGTTTAACGAGTCTATATATTTTATTATCTATTAATATAAATTTTATAACATTTTAATTTTAATATGAATTTCACAAGTGATGGTCAACTCTAATAACTAATCATTAAAGTGGGCTTGCGTTGCTTTTGTCCCTTTAAATCCTAATAATACTCCAATAGCAAAAGTCGGTTTCTTTTGAACTTGTTAGGCTATTGATTGGACCTCTCAGCTCTCTTTTGTAGATTATGTTTTGATTCCAGTTAATCAACTTATGATTCCATCTCACTTTTGTACCATTTGTTTTATAATTGTTCTCCAAATTTTTACCATTTAATGAGTAATTTTTTTTAAGGCACCAAAAAAATAAATAAATAAATAAACCCTCAAGTCCTGTTTAAATGATGGTAATGGTAATTGGAAGCAAGAATTTCATTCTCAAATCATAAATTTCCATGTTTGAATAATTAATTATTCAGTAATTTAATTCGCGAATAAATTTTTTACTGTAATCCAATTTTCAATAATAATGGGTATCTTAAACCCATGATCAATGGTGTTAATTTCATACCTACATTAATTGGGTATTCTATAAAAAATGAATAAAAATCTAAAAATGAAATTCCTCCCTAAAATAAATTTTATTTCAAAAATTAAGTTATTTCCTAAAACAATTTGGCAATAACGTCAATTCCTGCACTAGATTACTGACTATAATCAAACACTACATTTGAGATTACAAGTAATGTCATGTTTTATCAAGTTTCTTACTAAGTTTTTCATTTAATGTGGAGCAATCTTCATCATTAAATGTTAATGAGACCTATTTATTTGATGGTGAAAATTTTGTCGCATAAAAAAATTAATAAAAATTTTTGGTTAATATAGCATTGTTGCTAATGTATTTACAGTTATTAAAGTAATACTGAGTCTAAAGTTGAGGACCCATTTCTGGGGATATTTTACCCTCACATAGTCACATTAAACCCTTTTTTATTCCTATTATTTGGTCAATACAATGTTGCCTTACTTGCCTAATTTCAACCTTCTTTGCTTACACGCCATATGAAGCGAGGTCTGTACCCATTAAAAAGAGCTGACAAAGCATCTCTCCCTCTCTCTCTCTCTTAAAGATCATCTTTCTGGAAGAAAGTATGTTCAAGATCGGATCAAGGTTAGTTTGTCTGTCCTTCTTTTCTTTCTTTTGTTTTTCTAATCTCAAGACAAAACTATTTGAAGCTGCTACGCTGATTTTTAGTCTTGAGAAGAATGCTTCTGGAGAGTGAATCTGGCTGCCTTATGTCCCTCACAAGTGCAGTGCTACTTAGCTCTTAAGTCCATGTTGCTGCTATGATATGGTGGTCTTATGTAGCTTCAAGCGGTGGGTGCATTAGACAGTACTGTTTAGTGCTGTAGGTCTAGATTACGAGAGACTAGACGATTCGGCTGTTAATCGAACCAAACTACTCAAGTTTGATTCGGATTTGACTTATTTTAGGCTCGCCTCCGTCGCGTTCCATTATCAGCCTTAGACCCATTTGTCATGGGCCACTCAAATAATGGCCAGATTGATTGCTCCCATGTGATATGTTCTTTTTTGTCTCTTACGTCAATCAGGGGCTAAAGCTTATCTGTGATTTTTTTTTTTTTGCCTTTTCTTATCTGGGTAAACATATATGTGATGATGATGTGTGTGTGTGTGATGCAGAATCTTCTCTAGTCTCTTGACTGTAGTCTGTATATCCTCACTTTGTGTTTCAGTTGTTGGTATAAGAACAGAAGCAATCCCCTTTCAAGATCCTTGCCCACTGAAAAGTTTTACAGGCGGTTCTCTACCCACATAGGAAGGTGTGTTGAAATCTCTCTCTCTCTCTCTCTATCTCCTGTAAAACCGCCTTCATTTGGGCAAGATTTAATATTATAGCATTTCTCTTTGTTTTTTCGGGTAAGAGTAAGTGCACTTGGTTTTATTTTATTTTATTAGACTGGTCTCACAAGCTTTGTTCACATATTTCAGTTATCACCAACTAAAAGCAGCTTTACCATCTGTCATTTGTCAGCTTGTGCTGGCCTTTTTTCCGATACACCGGAGTGGCCTGTTTGGACTGACCTGAGTGACACTGTAGAATAAACAATAGAGGATTAAATCTAGGCATGCATGTATGTTGTTCACTGGTCCGTTAAGATTATTTGTTTTTACACCATAATTTAATCATCATATTTTTAAACTGTAACAAATTCTGTTGATTTAGAAAATGAGCTAAATCCGAACCGAGTACAAAACAAGTTAATCTCGAGCCTGAGTCTTTTTAAGCTTATTTTTTAAACGAGCCTAAAAAATCTTTTAAGCTCAACTTGTTTAAAACACGAGCTGAATTCAACTCAAATGTTATTCGAACTGAACTCGAGCTCAAATAGCTTAACTCAATTATCAACTTTATCTCGTAATTATAGTTTTAGATTGGAGTGCCTTTCGGATAAGTTATGGCAGCGAGCTATACAGCTCACATAATTAAGCAAAAAACACCTCCACAATTTATCAAACACCTAGCATGCTCTAAAAGAGAAAATGTTAAAGACAAGAATTTGTTGAATTGAGTTGGCACGTTAATTGTTTCTTTTCGCACTGATAGATAAAGCCCACCAGCTTTGTGGTCTTTTTGCTGGTTCAAATTTCATAAAACTTTTTTTCTGACTGAGCTTCTACTACCTGTCCTATTGACAAAGTAAACTAGAGGGTAAGGTAGCACTGATCACTGGAGCAGCAAGCGGCATTGGAAAGGAAACAGCAACCAAGTTCATCAGCAATGGTGCCAAAGTTGTGATTGCCGATGTCCAACAAAAACTTGGTGAAGACACGGCAAAAGAACTAGGGCCAAATGCCACCTTCATTGCCTGCGACGTTTCTAAAGAATCAGACGTCTCTAATGCCGTCGACTATACAGTCTCTAAACACGGTCAACTTGATGTCATGTACAACAATGCAGGAATTGCATGCCACACTCCCCCAAGCATAGTTGCCCTGGATCTCGCGGTGTTCGACCGTGTCATGGCGATCAATGTCGGGGGTGTTGTTGCTGGGATCAAGCATGCGTCGCGCGTAATGATCCCACGTCGAACTGGCTCCATTCTGTGCACTGCCAGTGTCACTGGACTGATAGGTGGCCTGGCACAACACACATATTCCATATCAAAGGCTGCTGTGATTGGAATCATGAAATCTGCTGCATCAGAGCTGTGCAAGTATGGCATTCGGGTCAACTGTATTTCCCCTTTCGCCATTCCAACTGCATTTGTGATGGAAGAACTGGTTGAGTACTTTCCAGGGATTGATACTCAGAGGCTTGTGGATATGGTACGTAGTACAGGTGTTTTGGAGGGAGCACATTGTGAACCCAGTGACGTAGCCAATGCTGCACTTTATCTTGCATCCGATGAGGCCAAGTACGTTAATGGGCATAATCTGGTGGTGGATGGTGGCTTTACGTCGATGAAGACTTTAGGGTTACCTGTAGATCTGGTGAAATGAAAGATATGAAATATAGCTGGTAGAGATGTTTGAATTTGAGATGATAAATCAAAAGTGATTTCATATTAAATTTTGACGCCACACAACAAATTTCATGTTCAACCTACACAAAGATACTTGAGATCAGTCCGAGTATTTGTTGAGTCATCGTAGAAAGTTGCTTAGAGACCACTGTACAGTTGAAAGAATATAAATCGTATTTGAAAGTCAAATGTAACAGGAGCCACAATTGCAGTTTCAGAATTAGCAAATTCACCCAACCAAGCTTATTAATTTTAGCAAGTTAGTGCAATGCCACCATTTGTGAGAGTTCTAATAAGACAATTCTTGTTGTATCATAATGTACAGAGTTTTAGATCAAAATCATGGGCTGCTAAATTCAAGAAGAGATGCACGGGACCTAAAATCGAGACACATGACTGATCATGTAGGGAAGGCCTGCAATTTAGAACTGATACTTGTTTATGAAACATCAAGGACCATGCACTTCTGAAAACCATCATTTTTGATTGCAAGATAACAGGAGAAGCTTCAAGAAATTCATCTCTCAAATCAAGTGAATCTACATTGTCCCAATAATGGAAGAAAAAATCTTCATTTCACCTTATTCTGATGATGAAAAATAATCTGCCATCCTGAGTGTGCGTAGCTTCTTTGAATTTCATGCTTTAATAATCAAGCTGGTATTGGTGTTAAGGTCACGTATCAAAACATGGCACAACTACAACAAACTTCAGAGTTAAGCTGTCAAACGTCTCCATGGCCTGGTCATTTCGTGAGTTACAGAAAACCCATGACGGTAATCAGAACTGTTCCAATACAACCTTGCGCATGTAGTCCTCTGGCACTGGAGAAACAGTAAAAGAGAAAAAGGTAAATGAGGAAGTTTTTAATTTAAGGCAACATCAATCAACAACCTTTCTCCTCCTCCACCTCCACCTCCTTTTGACAAGTGAAGCCAACCACCAGTTCTGAAGTTTTTAAGCCATTACATTCCAAAGCAGAAATTCCACAGAGAGAACTATTTGCTCAGCTCTATTAATCTTTTTAAAACTACTCTTTTACCCTAATCCTTATTTATTTCTTAATTTAGGTCACCCGCTCAGCCAATATATTGAAGAAAAACTACATATTCAGAAGGGGAGTCTCTTGCAAGGAATCAACAGACCAAAATTAACTGAACTGAACTCCCAGACTCAAACCTACTTATTGCTTTCAATGGTTTTACATGTTTAGAAATGCCTCACATATACCCTAAGAAAGACAGGGCAAGGTGGGCAGAACTCTTACGTGTAGGTTTCTTTTAGATAGTAATCTGGTGTAGCAGAGGATGAGTACCTAATCCACCAGTGAACAATTTGAACTGACCAAGCGCCTGCCTGATGAACATTTCAACGCCACTCACAACTATGGCTCTGGCCTCTGCAGCTTCTTGCAATAGCCTAGTGTTTCTGGGTGTATAAACCGCATCAAAAACCAGTTCATATGATCCCAAGGCCTCCTAAAAGCAGTTGAAAAAGGGGAAGATTTGCTGATCATTATGTCTTTTTGACCTGTACACACACACAGAGAAGCACACGTGCACACAAACACATATACAGGGAGAGAAAAGAGAACCTTAGAAACAGGAGTCTGGTTTGTATTTGGCTGCATGCCCACAGCAGAAGCATTGGCAAGAATCATTCCATTCTCAGGGCAAAATTTGTCCAGACATTCATAGGGCAGAGCTTCACCAGAAACTGCTTGTGCAAGAGCCTTCGCTCTCTCTTTGAAATGAAGGATCAGAGTCTGTAGAAAAGGAAACTACCTACACATGTCAAATGAAAGTTTTGATCTTACCAAAATTACGATTGAAAATGACCACCCTTGCCCCTCTGTTTTTAGCACCGAAAGCCATTGCTCTTCCTGCACCTCCTGCTCCAACCAAAACAAACAATTTCCCGGCAATAGGAGAAGCTTGTGATGCTTGCCCATTGGAAATTTGTCTTTCTGCACAACCCACATATGTGAATTAGCTTGTTATTTCTGGACTGACCTTGTGCTTAAGTTATTTATTTTGAATATTTTGACACACTTCAAATTAAAGATAAAGCATCACCTATAAATTGGCTATTAACTATATAATCCTTTGTTTCGAAGCTCTCATAATTTCCTCTAGACACCGCTCATAGTTAAATTGAAAAAATAAAAAAGACGCACCATAGTCAACCACCAAAGAAATGTCTGTATATATGTGTGTACTCTCTTTTAGTGTAAGATACTTCCTTCAATTTTAGAACAGGTAACAGTACCTCTAAGTGCGTCCTCAATTGCAGATATACCAGCCTCACAATCTGTATTGTAACCGACCAGCTTCCCATCAGTAGGCTTTCTTACAATGGTGTTCACAGCTCCTATGGCCTGATTGGCAAAGAATCAGATGGTTAGAATGGGTCATCAATGCCACATTAGTTTGTGCACAAAATATTCATGACTAATTGCAAGGAATCGAGACTCTAGGTCTTAGATAGGAGGAATTAATGAAAACCCTAATTTTCAAGACACTAATCCAAGATGAAAATGAAACTTGGGTACACTTGCATTTGAGAACACAGCCCAAGTCAATCTTGTGTTTCATTTCATCTCCATTTAACCCCGAAGTCTGTTGGATTGAAGAACCTGTGTAGCCTATTCCAAACCACTCACGCTCATGGTTTTCTTAATATACTACATACAGACCAAAAAACAAGATGCTTGTAGTTAAATCAAGGTATATCTCACACTCACACTTTGTGCATATATTATCATCACTTATTCTCATGAGTAATTGCTTACTGTGTATTAAGTGGTTTCTTTCAGACAGCGTACAACCTCCAGAGTTGGCCCAGTGTCACACCACATACCATTGGATTTCAATGATAAATTGAGAACTGAACAGGGTGGAAAGAAATCTTGGGCACTACAACAACATGATAAATTCTTTGCATTTTTCATGGTGTCCTATTTACACAACACACATCAGATTGCAAGGTTTTCAGACCTTGGCTAGGGGATGGACTTCATCACAACACTCTACTGCTGCTTCCTTATGTGGGATTCCAACACTACAAAATCCATCAAAAGGAAGAAAACCACACATTAAAAAAATGTACTGAACAAAAACTGATCTATTTCAAAATAGAGAAACCTAAGTAGATGATAATGCATTGCAATAAGTAAGGAAAAACCAGCCACCAACATTAGTTGAAATTCTGACAATATCTTTATGATATTCAAACATAATACTCTTATAAGGAGATCTAAACAGGAATTTTAAGGATCACACAATCACCCACCAAATAACCATTGAACGAATTTATTACAAGTCTTAAGAGAGAGGCAATGCAGGAGGGGCTTTCAAACTGAGTCCCCATCAGCATGTTAGGTAATCATATAGTGAGCATGCTTTGAATTTCCAACAAGCATTCCGTACAAATGCCTTTTCTTGTAGACATAATGTCTAACGGAGCATAAGTTTAATTATTCATCAGTTGACATCTTCTATTACATTTCTATGGAACTGGGCTTTACCAGTAAAATGACATAGGAGTTTGCACATATTTTTGGCATACCGTATCAGTTCTATCATGCAAGTCATCCAACCCTACACTAAACAAAACTACAAACACAAAACTGGATTCAGTTCCCCATAACTAAAAGTCAAGTGAAGGCCCATCATAAAGAATTCAGCCAATCTTAGCACAAGGAGGAAATATGGATGCAAGTGCAGGAGCCGGAGAGGAGGAGAACTTGAAAAAAGAAATTCATTGTCAACCCATATAAGAATTGTTAAGCTTTTAATTATGTTGTCTACATGTATCAGTCCGAGACACAAGTTGCAGCAACAAGCTCTTCCAAAAATTACTCAATGGCAACTATTGACATACAAGACCAGCGAAACTACGGACAATCTGTAAGTACAAAAAATCAAGTCAAGTCAACCAAGTCTTACTCCCAAACCCAATTATTTGAGATCGGCTATCTTATACAAACATAACTACACGAGCCAAATTATTTCTCCTGTTTTCCTCCATTTAGAGAATGCTGCATACCTGAAACCTGCAAAGTCATTGCATGAATACACCCTGAAGAATTCCTTGACATTATCCACGAGAAATGGCACATAAATTCCATTATATTTTGTATGTCCAAAGGCAGGATTATGCAGAAGAGGGCCTTTGCTATGGCCTACTGGATTTGAGACAACACCAAAAACTTTTGTATCTGAATCCATATGTTCAAGCTTGTACACTTGTTTTATGCTAGCTAGAGGTGGCAAGCCAGGTATGGATTTGCCTCCCAAAGTTCCACAGACCAAAAAAGCACCATATTTAGGACCCAATAACTGGCTTATAAGGCCTCTATCTCCCATAGCTCTTGCTATTAGTGGCATCTGCAGGTAGACCAGCACCAAGTAAAGTGCACTGAAATATTGTACCATTCAACTCACAAAAAGAAATGGAAGGAATCAATAAATGTAAAAGGGTAAAAAAGGAACAAATAATATCATTTTCACCATGCTAGATGTCCCAATGATGGATTACCAATCACTTGATCAAATGAATTTTGGCACAATGTTGTGAAAAGAGTAATATGGTGGATAATAAATGCAATTTGATTTTGCATTTATACCAAAACTGGATTTTCTAAAAACCATGTAACATTTAATAAGAAAGCGGCAATAGGGCCTTGTAAAGTTGAACAAGAGTGAACATTATTTGGGGCATACCAACATAGCAAATGGGCTAAGTTCCCAATATATGGCAAGTACCTGACAATGGGTAAGCATATGGAAAACTGGCGCAACGTCTGTAATATAAATGACATCAACCACAAGTTTGATGGCATCTGCCCCTGTGGATTGCAAGCATGTAATCAGGTCACCAAGTTTCTCTTTAGAAGGCGTCCCGCCATTTACATAGCTCGACACAATTAGCTTGCTATTTGACCGCTTGTTCATAAGCTCAGTCATGACAACATTA